TTTAGAGAGGAGTCCAAGCTCACCTTCAGCTTCAGTGTTGATGGTGTATTTGTTGGTCTGTTAATTCTGTGACAAAAGAATTCCAGCCCCACTATAAAGCTTGTCAATCTTTGAACAAAAGTTGCTTGAATCTAAAACTGTAATTTAATGGTTTTGACAGCCACTGTACTGGGTGGTGCCCATTACTTGTTCACTCCAGAAGACTATTGGAAATGACTTACTTGTGGGGCTCCGGAGCTAACGCAATTCCTGAGGAAACTAAAGTGTGTGTGTGTGTGTGTGTGTGTGTGTGTGTGTGTGTGTCATAGTTGAACACAAGACCTTTATTTTATTTATTTATTTTTATGTGGTGCTGAGGATTAAACCCAGTGCCTCGCACATGCTAGGTGAGCACTCTACCACTAGCCACAACCTCAGCCCGAGTGTTTTTAATTGAATGTCTGTGCTAACTAGAAAGACCGCCTCTGCTTTACTGAGCCTGAAACAAAGCATCCTGCATCATTCCAGCAGCTGGTTTCATTTATTGGTAAGGCAGGAGAAAGTGGATTTGGAAAATTTTAAGCAAAATTAGTTTTAATGATCATTATCTGATTTTGCTTTTGGACGGAAAAGTTCCCCCTTTGTTTAAGTCAGGCTCTGTCAAGTTTAACTTTAAATAAAAGTTCTTTTAATTGGGACTGCAAAGAGCAGGCAGTCAGAAATGTAGCAAGCACTTCACAGGAAAACCAGTTCCAGTGATCCACAGCAAACCCAACTACTCAGTTAATGGAAAAATGTTGGAATGAGGGACACAATCTCATCTGGAATTTCTGTGCAATGACTGCTGGGTTTCATGTATTTTTAACTAGACATTTTTGCTAAAACACTGAATTCCTCCCAAAATACAATACTCTTGGTCTAGGTATTACAGCTTTGCAAGTTAATTATCTAAATCTGGGTGATTACTAGATTTTTTAAAAAATTCATTTCTTAAATGAGATATGTCAGAAATAATGTATTTGAAATGCCTCATATATGAAATAAATTCCCCTATCATGATGACATAAATTGTACTTTTTTAGATTGTCAACTTGTCTAGATTTTCATACATGTTGACATATGCCTTTCTACACACCTTTCTTATATTTTCTTGAACTATCTGGTAGAATGGATGACTTTCTGAAGCATCACTTTAATGTTTTGAAAAACAAATCTACCTTTCAGCTAAAAAGAGAAAATGGGTTTTCAAAGGTATTTTAAATTATTACAGAGAAAAAAATTCCCACATATGAGGACACTTGGCCCTGTTCCTAGTGATCCTGATCAAGACCAGGATCAGCACTAAAAACAGAGAGAGGGCTCTGGGCTCAGGTTCCTAGTGATTCTGGCAAGACTTGGGGCTGTGTTTGGCCTGGCCACCCATCTTCCCTGGTCCCCAGAGTTTAGCAGATGACATTTTCTTGGAGAGGTTTAATTCTTTTAATTGGGACTGCAAAGAGCAGGCAGTCAGAAATGTAGAAAGCACTGTTGCTTGACATTCTTCTTGTTACTGGTCAATAAAGTCCAGGCCAGGTTTGTACAGTCGAAGTCTGCTTTCAGTGTGTCGCCACATAACTGACTTGATTCTAGTCGTTCTCTCTGTGTGTACTTGCTGAAGTTCACCCAAAGTCCAGGGCCTGTAAAGCTGGTTCTGTGGCCATGTGAGAAGTTGAGGGATTCCTCTCCTTGAAGGGCAGGAGAAGGTCAAGTCCACCCCTGTGCAGTTCCTCCACTGAGTCTGGATGTGCAGAGCAGGGACAAGGCTCAAACACGTAGCTGGGACATACATGTGACAGCAGGTGGTTCTGAGGTCCCAGCTTTTGGGCACCCCTGGGGACGGCAGGGACTGAGAGAACTGTCTGGTATTCCAGCCGTGGGTGCCAGCTAAACCAGCCCACAGCCAGGAGGGGGAGGGCATAGGGAGACGGCCCTGATCCACGTGGCCTCCCGTGTGGTCTGCTTGGGGATTTTGGCCTGCCTAAGCCCCTTTCCAGTCAAATGAAGAGAAGAAAAAGAAACTAAGTTAGAACTCCTTGGATGTATTTTCTGTGTCCTAGTCATGGGAAATCTTGCCTACTCTTCACTCTCCTTAACTGAGCACCAATTATTATTGTTAGACTTCTGAATAGGCCAGCAGTGACCCAGTCTCATGGGTGAGCAATCTCACGTGGGACACACACCATTTGGGAGACCCTGGGAGTGAAAGGGAGAGTGCCGAGCGCAGGCAGTGGGGAAGGAGTGCCTACCCTGGACATCAGGGCAGGCCTCCTGAGATGGGGATGTGGAACCGGAGGCTGGAAGGGTGGGCATTAGCTGGCTGAGGAGTGCTGAGCAGATGGAGCAGCAGGCAAGTTAGAGATTAAAAGAAGCTCCGTGTCTGAGTGATCACCAAGGTGGGGAGCGGGAGCAGGAGGCGGGGAGCACTGGAAGTCGAGGCAGAAGTCGTCTGAGTGAATGAGCTGTGATTTTATTCTAGGAGCCCTGGAACAGGAAAAGTGGAACAGAAAATGTGTTTCAGAAATTGCTTCTGGCCATAGAGGGAAGCCGAGTGGAGGTAGAAGCAGATTGGAGCTGGGAGTGTTAGGAGGCTGATGCAGCTCAGCCAGACGGAAGTGACCCTGGCCTCTATCTGGAGGCTGGATGTGCAGGGCCGAGTGGGGCAGGAGCAGGGGATGAGCAGAGAGGGGCCCAAGGCCTGAAGGCTGGGCAGCCATCACCAGCAGGCACCTCAGGGCTGGGATGACAGCTCCGTGGCAGAGGTCAAGTGAGACTGGCAAGTGGAGGCTCTCCACCCTTGGCACCAAAGCTTTGAAGAATGTGCTTTAACTAGGCAGAGTTTAAGTCCTGGCTGGATGCACGGGAGCCTGGGGATAAGTGCAGTACACACATCCAGGTCCTGGCAGGAGTGTCTCCAGCAGGCCTAGCAGATTTGATTCCCTGATCTGCAGTGGAGGGTGGAGTCAGATCTGGGCTGCAACCCGCACACAGCTCTTGGAGCCCCGCACCGCACCGCACCGTACCCTTGCAGTTAGAGATGCTGGCGCCGAGCCACTTATCTTCTGCTCAGTTACATTATGCTGTCCCAGTTCCAGTGTCTCACAACAATTAAGTCAGGGGTGGAGGGGCTCAGGGGGACAACAGTACTGGGGGGAATATTAACTTCAATTTCAACACATGGACTTTAGGTTTCCTAACAATTTCCAAGGGTTTTAGGAGCTCTGTGTGAGGAATCGGGATAGAGATCAAAGACACATTTCTTCTTTCTTTCTTTTTCCTGTGGTGCTGGGGATGGAGCCCAGGGTTTTGGGCATGCTAGACAAGTGCTCTACCACTGAGCTGCACTCCAGCCCTGAGTTGTAGGTATCTGTGATAAATCCACATCATAGAAACAGGTTTCACAGACAGTTGAATGCATTGGCCTGGGGTTAAGGAAATATGTCTGAGACCATAGGGGAGAGTTGAATTCTGTAGGGTGAATGGGAGAACCCACAGAAAGGGCATAAGTGGAAATGTGAGGACTGGTTCTACCCAAAGGCACACAAACACAGTGGCTGAGCAGAGCTGAGAACTTGCCCAGGAAGAGGAAGTAGAGATTAGGGTGGCTGGGGAGGCAGGAGGGCCAAGGCGTGCTAGGCCCTGGGCTGAGGCAGGAACCCTCCAGGGGCATGGTCAGCATGTCACCTGTGGGTCTGCCTGGAGCTCCTCCTGCTGTGGGGACAGGAGCCAAACTAGAGTGGGTAGCACAGCAAAGGGGACAGCGGTGGATACAACTGTGCAAGCTGCTATTGCCTTCTGCTCTCAGAGGTCAGGTCTGCTGCACTACTGCAATGCCTTATTGACTGTCTTGTGTGTGTGTGTGTGTGTGTGTGTGTGTGGGGTGCTGGGGTGAGACACAGGGCCTCCTGCCTACTAGGCGAGTGCTCTGCCGTGCTAAACCTCCAGCCCTCTTCTGTGTTTAAAAAAGTCAAAGTTAATTCCCCTTTCTGAGAGAATCCATCTGCGGATGAGCCATGGCCTGGCAACCTTTGCTGCTGACTTCTCATCTTCCCGGTGCCTGGGTGCTGTGTGAAGCCCTGTGTGGGCGTCTGCATCTGTCTGCTTGGCCACTCTTTGGTCCCACCTGGAGCACACCAACTCTCCCAGGATCCTCCTCCTACCTGTGTTCTTATGTGGATGAGGGTTATGGAAAAGAAAATCATCATGGCCAAGTTAAAACTTTCCACTTGTATATTTCTGGTACCTCAGGTTCCAATTTAAAACATTAGAATATTCTGGAACACATATGAAATCCATGTCCATTTTGGACCACCCAGATTCAGAACATATAATGAGAAACTACAGAAACCATCTTGTAGGTGATGCAGCTGTTGACTCTCAGATTCAGTTTTAAGAAGGTCAGAGGAAGGAATAAAGAGCATTTAGATTTGAAATTCCCAAACCAGGCAACAGAGAACTTATTAGGAGGTAGATGGGGGAGGCATAGGGTTCCCTCTCTCTCCATCTCTCTTCTTCCCTCCCTTCCTCCAGGCAGACTACAGGTCAGAAAGCAGGAGGTTTGCAGAAATGTTGATAATTGTTAATAACCCTCCTCTTATGGGATTCACTCAGCAGACGGCATAAACGCAGTAGCCTGACCCACCTGAACTCTCTGTCCATTCCATTCTTCACGGTGGTCAACCCCACATTCCTTTGGAGAATCTGCTCCTCCAGGAGTCGTATTCTCCAAGCACATATTTTCGGATGTCGCTCGTGGCGTGGGATTAAAACTTCACGTGTTCTCTGCTATTTATAGAATTATCAGCCGCAAGGTTTTCACTGTTCTTTCTTCTTAAGCGCTGGGATTCAGCCGTTCCGCGGAGGAATGCTGCCCTCCCTCCCCACCGTCCCTCCCCACCTCCCGACCCGGCGGCGGCAGCGCGCCCTCCCTCCGGGGGGCCGAGTCAGGAGCGTGACGCAGGAGTGGGCTCTTCCTGGACGCCCAGCCTCGCGGGCGCAGCACCCACCAGAGGCGCCGAGCTCCGCGCGGTGCGCGCCCAGTCGGCCCCATTGCACCCGCTGCGCGCGTCCGCCAAAGGCCTCCCAGCTCACCACGCTGCCCAGCCAGAGGGACAATGGGCACGGGGGATTTCATCTGCATCTCCATGACTGGAGGGGCGCCTTGGGGGTTCCGGCTGCAGGGCGGCAAGGAGCAGAAGCAGCCTCTACAAGTGGCGAAGGTAAGCGGGGAGCAGGGTCAAGGTTGTGCACCGTGTCTGCCCCAGGGGCCCAACCTGCTGAGCTCTGGCGGCTCTGACGCTGAATTGATGGAGAACAGGCTTGGTTTCAAGAAACTTTAGAGTCCAAACTACCGCGTATCATGCAATTAACTGGCAAGCCACGGCGGCGGGAAGGGTCACGGTCAGGAGCTGGAGTCAAGACGCCCCCTTCGGAGGACAGCAGAGCTCCGCGGGGCGTAGCCGCTTGGCCAGGATGCTCTGGGGACTCGATCTAGTGCTGGTGGCAGCGTGCACGGAAAAGCCAATTTTGGCAATAATTTTGAAAGTATGATGAAATGTCATAAAATCTATTTAAAGAATATCCTTTTAAGGATTTGACAAGTAAACGCAGAAAGCCAAGTGCTGTATTCCCTGAAGTGTGCCCAGCTGGTTAAGGACAGCAATAAAATTCAGGGATCCCGGAGCTGCCAGGGCCCAGAGTGACTGCAGGCTGCAGGAGCTGTTCGCAGGGGTGCACCGCGGGGCTGGGGTCTGCTGCCTTCCAACTGGCAGACAAAAAACCTTGAACTGTACGACAGTGAACAAGTTTTACCTGATTTTAATGTCAAATTATAGTGTCATATCGAAGAGTTTGTGAGGGCAGCAGGTGGATTTTGTTTTATGCTTATATTAAAAATGGATCCAGATGCTTCTGAAATATGTGGGTCCCTGCCTTGTAGGCATCCTCTCACCTTGGCTTTTACTTTTAAAAAGCGGTGGGAGTGAGAAAAGGAGTTTCTTTGAAGTTTTCTGCTCTCAGGAATCCATCAGAAAATCCTTTCATATCGCGATGGTAGAATCCTGCCCCCTAGTGGAAGTTCAGGTCCTCAGCCCAGACAAGAAGCAGGTCGGGGGGGGGGGGGGGAAGCAGATTTTTAAAATAAGACTGGAAAGTTCATCAGAGATCAGTCATTCAAGTATTTTCAGATGAGGAGAGAGCCTGAGGGGTTAAGTAACGCTTCTGGAGTGTCCAGTTGGACCTCAGAGGATCTGTGGCCCTCGAGGCTCCCCGGGAGCCAGGGCAGGCCAGTGCTGCAGGCGAGCAGGACTGTGCTGGGGGATCCCACCTTCCTGGGCATCGGTGAAGCAACACTCGGATGGAAAGGAAGAGCATTGGGGAAGGCCCTGCAAGGGAGGAGGGGCAGGGCCCCTGGGACCAGAAGAAAAGAGCCTGCTAGAACTAGAGGGTCCCGGGCCGCAGGGTTCCAAAATTCTGGTCACCACAAAGCACCTGTTACTGGTAGTCAAAGCACCAAAGTTTGTGACAACATTGTGTGATAAACGTGAAGGTGTGATAAACGTGAAGGTGTGATAAACGTGAAGGTGTGATCCAGGCTGGGACCTGAGGCTGCAGCGCTTCACTGAGTCTAGAACAGTGGTTGGTCATCTGCTTCCCACAGGGAGATGGGGCTGACTCCAGCGCTGATCTCCAGGGCAGCCCTGGGTGAGTGGCCTGCCCTCCTGGAGGGGGTGTAAGGAGAGAGAGGGAGACTTTGGGTGGAAAGGAGAGAGTTAAGGAGGATGCAGGGTCCTGAAGGTCCTATGCCCCAGGGCACAGTTTGGGTGGAATGTGAGGACACAGAGGCTGAAAGCTGTCATGTCCAGTGGCTCTGAAGAGCTCAGCAGGCGTGGCACCTCCTTTCTCTGGATGCTGGTTTCAAGGTTCACACTGTCCTCTGTTGCTCAGGGGAGCTGGTGTTCTAGAAAGCCTGGGAGCAGAGGTTGCTCGCTGTGCCTGCCTCGCCAGGACCACCATTCTTATTTAAAGTGCTGCGCCCGTCAGAGAGTGGACTTCAGGGTCTCCCACGGAGCTCAGCGCAGGAGGGTGTTCTGGGGCAGAGACCGGCTCCTTTGGGTGGAGCTGCCCCCACCTAGAGGTGGGACATACAGGCTGGGTGCAGGATGGTTGCTGTCAAGCCAGATGCTCGTGGTTTTGAGAAAAAAGATTAATTTGATAATTGAAAAAAAATATTTCCCAAGAAGATAGAATTTCAGCCAGTGCTTGAACCATGACCTTAAAATGAGAATGCTATGAAATGTTTTGTTCAAAGATAAAACAAAATTTGGCTTGTTGTGAAACATTTGTGTTTAGATCTTTAATAATTCCGTATAGAAAAAACCCAGCAGGCTGAAATAGCGCAGGAAAAACAAGGGTAATGTTATTAAGTGGTCAGGAGCACAGTGGCCTTGTAAATGCCACTGAGCACCTCCCAGTGCTGGCTGGTCACTTCTCAGAGATGTTCAGACATGTTCAGTACTTGCTGGCTGACCAAACTGCACACAAACCCACACTTTAAAGATCACTAACAGGAATATTAACAAAACTTCTCAGAGACAAAAAGCTCAGTGCTCTCAATTTCTGTTTTTTTTTTTTAATAAACTGATTTTTAAAAAAGGCCAAATAATCAGTAACGCATCTGGTGTTTGAATGCTTGCGTGTCTGTGAATTTCCATTCTGCATGACACAGTGTACGCCTCACAGGCTAAAGCCACTTGGCCTGATCTGTCCCTAGAAGCAAGCTGTGCAGACGGACAGCCCCACTGTCGGAGCCAGAGGATGTCAGCAGACCCCGCTGCAAAGCTCCCTGGGGACCCCCTTTGCGGCTTCCCTGGAAACACTCTTGGCAGCTCACTCTGGAAAGCGCCATGTCAAGCCATTGGAGCCGTTTTTGTTGGATAACACATCTTACAATTCAAAACAACTCACATTTTGAAAACAATGAACAAAACATTGTTCAGAATATTTATCTTTCATGGTTAATACAGTTAGACTTTTTTCTTTAAACCCTGTAAATCTCTGTAGTTCTGATTCCCATTGAATTTCAGTTCAAAGTTTCAAGCACCGATCACAGTTGAGATCACAAATAATCATCGATCTCTTCCTGAGGCAGTGATGGATTCAGTGATTCTTACCTGTTGCTGTGGACCCTGGAAAGCTCTGAACAAAGCACATTTTGTAGGCTCAGTGCAGTCCAGGCTCTGTGGTCCATGTCCCCTTGTGCCACATCCCTTGCGCCATCAGTGAGGTTTCTGGAATGCTTCAGAGAGAGCGATTCCAGAAACAGCCACCTGTGGGGAAGGGACGCCAACGCGTGGAGGGCGTCTGAGAAAGACTGCTCCTCACTACCAGTGGAAACCTCGTGATGTCTTTAACATAAAGGAGCTGATCCCTCGATGCTTGGTTGGTTTTGGGTCCTTACTAGAAATTCAAAGGCAGGTCTGCTCCAAGCCCACACATGAGGTGCGTCTCCCAGGCAAACGGTGTGTCCACACCCTCGTCCGGACATTGTGTTCCAGTGCGCTCAGTCGTGGGGCCGCGGTGGCATCAGATGCCCCTGCGCATGCACTCTGCCTGGTGGGGACCTGGCACAGCACTTGTGTCCAGCAAGTCCTGCCCAGTGCCCGGAAGGGTTCCAGTGCCTGTGAGTGACGTCTCCTGGAGTGTTCTGCAGATCCTGAGCGTGTGTGTGAGAAGCTGCCTCTGCCCCAGAGCTGGGGAAGCTGCGGTGAGACAGGCCAGGCTCTTGCTACGGGGATCTGTAAAGATGACTGGATGCAACTTTTCTCCTTTTTTGTTGGAAATGTGCCCAAGAGGATAGAGATGGAGGTAGGCTAGGGTGGTCCCCCAAAGAAAGTTCATAAAACGCAAACATACCCCGGCCTCAACGTTTGTAATCACTTGGGAGATAATTAATTGGCCTGGGGTGTGCCCTGGGCCTCAGGGTTTGTAAACACTTGGAGGTAATTCCCATGTGTGATCCAGATCCCCAGCCCTGCTGCAGAGGGCAGCCAGCTGGGTCCACTCTGCGCTCACTGGGAGGCAGGCACCCTGCCCTTTCCCAGCCAAGGTAGGAGGTGGCCCAGAGAGGCCCAGAGCTGCCTGAGTTCCAGCCTTGTGAGCAGGTCGCGTTGTGGTGGCCAGCCAGGTGAGCTGGGGAGCACGCAGGCGCTGGGGCCTTCAGCAGGAGCCCTGGAGGCTGGGCTGCAGGAAGGGAGGTTCTCTGCTAGTGAGTCTGTGAGAGCCTCATATCCACACCAGGGCAGGCTCCGGGCACGCCCTGGGCAAGCTCTGGCAGCGAGGAGGAGCCCCCAGCGGCCACCTGAGCCAGCAGCAGAGCCCTCAGCTGACCAAAGCTCAGTTCACACTCAGACAACACCAGAAGCGGGTTTCCCATCTGCCTGAAACCCAGAGTCAAAGTCTCACTCATTCTACCTGGAAACAGGAGCATCGCGGGAGCCGGGTGTTTTCAGATCTCCTCTGTGCCTGGCGGTGCGTGGCTGGTGGGTAGCTCGAGGAGTGCCAGCTGGTTCTGTTCTAAGCGTGAATCGGTCCATTTCTCCCCACGGAAGCTCTCAGCATTGGCAAAGACAGACCCCTTGAGAGTACCTTGGGCAGACCCATGCACTTCTCCTGCCCTTGGTCATTAACTGTCCAGTCCAGTTGGAGCTTCTGTCTAATACCTGGCTCTGAGTTCCCTCCCCTAGCCCTGTGGCTCTGGAGCTCACCATGGGGAGAAGGGTGTTGTCTGCCCTTACCCGCCTCCCTCCAGCTCCCGTAAGGCTAGAGGATGGAGGAGGGGCTGCAGAGGGGAGAGGAGGTGCCTTCACCTAGAGCTGAACAGGGGGCTGCTGTTGTCTTCTCTGGTCAATGCTGAGTGGCCCCTGAAGTTCTCTGTGGCTGGTGTCCAAGTGCCAGGACAGATGTGGCTTCTCCTAGGAGCCCTGGAGCAGGCACCCTGGGTTGGAAGTTGGGCTCACCTCACTCTGCCCTGTCCTGCCCTGGGCCTGGCGGCTGGCTCCTGGAGCTCCTGGCTGGGAGTCTGACCTTCGGGGTAGGGCGTTAGAAGCTGGCTCAATCCTGCCACCTGCCTTGGCATTTCTCATGCAGAGGAGATGCAGAGACCCTCCCCTGGGCCCGGTGGCAGGCTGGGGTCCTGGTGACAGGCCCTTACATTCAACCA